ATATGTTCTGTAAATTAATATACTAATACTTATAGATTTGTGACTGGACAGATGTCGAGTGTCTTTATAAGAACTCGAACGATACGCGGATTATTCAGAATGTTGTTACAGAAAATTTGACGTGCGAATGTTTAACTCCTTGCTGGAATGTAGTGTACGACTTGCGAACTTCCACGCTCGAGTTAAATGGCGACCACGATTTTAATCCTCCGTTGTAGTGAGTTAATAAAATAGCACAAACATACATTACTTAAAACATTGTCCTTAAATGTTCCCACGTATATATACATATATATGATTCATTTCAGCAAAAATCTTTCAGACGCCCAATCTGTTCTAAGAATATTCATGAGATCCGAGACATTTATGGAAATGGATACAATCCCAGTCGCCGATGAATTGTATTTGCTATGTAAATGATCATTTCTATTTGCGCATAATCCTTTAATGTCCCGATTAAAAACAGAGGAAAACCTTTCAGCATCGCTGGGCGGGATATTCAGTCTTTTCCTGGGTTGCAGCTTCATAAGTGTCATCGAGATTTTGTACTTTCTAGGATTGTTTCTTTGTTCCACATACAAGAAATCAAAATAATCGTCGATCAGAACTTTCACAAGTAATGATATTAAACAACGTAATTAAGATAAAATAAATGTAGTCAGGTTAAAAGGAAGTTAAGCTTGTTTATTACAGTGTAAATCCGAGTGCAAATTAAAGGGGAGAAAGGCTAACTACGCGGACACTAACAAGTTGTGAATATTATTTTATTCTCTAATATAATTCTCTAATAATTACGACTAATTAAGTAAACGTTTCGGCCTGAAGTCCTCAGTTTCATATTAATATTGGCGAGACAATTAATATTTCATCATAATACATAAAAATAAAAGTAAAAGTAAAACATTTACTTAATTAGTCGTGTCATTTATTGACAAATGCATAAAATAATTCACAAATTATTAGCATTGGGCAGTTGGTTCTTCTTCTTAATCTAATTAAATATCGCATTTCAGGAAGGTAGAGCAACCGAGGAAACGCTTGGCATTGCTACGCCGACATACATAAACATCTTTCGGGACACCGGGTGTGCGGATGCCGCATCGAGCAACTACGAATCTGGAGCGATTAGATCTATTTCGAGCGGTTACTGGAGCGCTGCTGTAACATTTAAGTCCACGCCCGTGAAAATATTTACTACTACGAGTGTCTTATGATACCGCGCGGTCGTCATCAGAACAAAATAGTAATAACAAACAATCCGCGTAAGTTACGAGTAACGTTGCGATTTTCGATCCCCCTCGAGTGTCAATCACTTACGTAACGCGACACGTCAATTGCGCACTCGCGCGTGTGCGTATCTTATTTAATTCGCGCGTTTCGTCATCCGCACCTGCACGCACCTGTCCGTTAATGTTGGCAATAATATAAGGAACATTTGAAATAGCGATATGCAAATATAACGGGACACGTTCCGGTACGGTCAAGTACGGAGATGGCAGATTTGTTCGGGATGGAAGAAGCATACAAAAACACGCGACCTGTTAGAGGCGGGTAAACCCGCTGTTTGACTTGGCGAATATACGGGACGTATAAATTATCGAATAACGAGGCTAGAAGAACGAATATCTCGTGCGAGTACAAAAAACAGTGGATATTAATATCGTACAGGACGGTATTTGAGAGGTGTTCGAATACAACGAGCGAGAAACTCGATACTTGCGTTTCGTGTCACCCGTGACACGGTCTCACGGATCCCCTGCCTTACGTAACGCTTGAAAGTTTTTTTGTTAATACAGCCCTAATTGCGGGCCCGGCATTGAAATGTGTACTAACTCATGTCGTCTATTTTCGCGCACGCTGTAGAAAATACCGATTTAGTTCCACGCGGACGTACCGTCGAACTTCGAGAGCTGGAAGCGCCGACTATTTTTGGAGAAACGCCCACGTAACGCGCGGGCAACGTCGTCCGCGTCTCCACAAAGTTCTCTCTATTCGCGCCCCGTAACAAAATTCGCATTTTTTTCATACGCCACGTCTCTCTTTTTCCGTAGTCCGCTTTACGCATGCCCCGATAATGGGCTATTTCCGGAGTGTACGGTAAGTAACAGCGAAATAAATTGCAGCCGGCTTTCCAAACGAAGAGATTTATTTTACCGCTTGCGGCGTTACGCATAAATCGAAAATATATACTACAAACCAATTTGTGAAGAAATTTGTCAAAATACACTTTTCACATCGCAGTTGCAGGCGGGACAAACTGATTTATTTCGGTGACCTCTCAAATGAGCACAATTCAATGATTGCTTCGAATTCAGATAACGTATGCATAGCTAATTATATAAGAAGTTATAATTAGTGTAATAACGATAGCCGATTTCCGCGACGAAGTGGCGAGAATGAAGCGAAACGAGGGAAATAAAGTTTTAAAATTCTTCCTATTGCCCGGTGAGTATATATTTTTGAATGACTCTCATCGCGGAAATCGGTCACTAAATTTGCGTAGAACATGTCTCCAGGCGCCTAGATTGTAGAAAGTATAATAAATGAGAACTGGTGAGCCTCGAGCGAGGTGTCCGTGACGATTTTGGATCCTCCGAACGCATCCGCCTTTTGACACGTGCTTTCTCTGTTGTTCAGCCCTAAAACGATTTGCCATATTTAAAATATTATTAAATGCAATTCGAGTTCTTACCGTCGATCGTTTAACCGAATGATTTATCACTTAATAAAACAACGTAGAAATCAGCACGCAACAATCGTAAGGTATGTAGGATTAAAAGCGAAGTAAAGCGAATAATGGAATTCCGCTTACTCTTCGGAGATTTCAATGACCAACTTAACGCAATACCCCATAGTCTTAGTAACTTGTTTCGAATGATCTTGAAACTATGAAAGCCACGAGTACATTTCGATAAATTTCAATTCAAATCGTAAAAGGCTGTCGTTGAACCCAATTTATCAACAATATCAAAATGAGAAAAGTACTCGGCTCAGTCGATGCAACTACGCGAGTGAAAATCGGGATTTAAATACAATCATTAGTAGACGTAACTCACCATGGTGAGGAATGTCTGTTGCGCTTAAAAAAACAACCCCGCGTACAATACCCAAAGCGAGATTAGTAGAAGAATAAGGATGAAATACGTCATCAGAAGGTTCGTCGTCTCGTGGCCCGCTTGTGGCATATTTCGACTGATATGGGCAGCTCTGTGTTACGAATATGAATTCTATTATTCACCAGATACACACTATCGTCCGACAACTTTCCCCCTAGTCTTCACAGGCAGAGAATCGATCGATCGTCAATTTCAGATTTATGTAAATTTATGCGCGGCGTTTACTAAACGCTTATTCTCTCCCCACCGTCGCACCGGTTTCTAACATTTATAATCAAATCGCTATGCATATAATATCGTGATACTTTCATCAAAGTCGCTTCGATCGATCTTCGTTCGAAGAGCAACGGTAATATACTCACGAGTGCTCGGATTATCGCGAGTTAATTGCGACTTTCGCGCGGGTATTCTATTTCCGATTTCTGTAAATGTTATTACATGAAGAACACTTTGAGTTTTCGAGTCGTCGAGATGATGCGGGTCCAGGAACGCGCTCCTCGCCGCCCTACGTGCGATCGTAGACTGGATCACGCGGTGCAGGATTCGCGCGCTCGGGGGCCGCCTTGCGATCCCGAAATTCCTCCAGGAACCGCATCACCACCCCCACCCATTTGCCTCGCACCTTCCCGCGAGCACCTTCTGCTCCAGGATTGGTAGAAGACGAGATCCCACCATCGGCTAATGTTGCTTGGAGAGCAACGAGTTTCGCTACCTCGAGTTATATTAAGGCATTGTGGATGTTAGGCGTAACTTCCTGACAAAAACCCCGCTAGATCGCTTCCAGATAGCCGTCGAGGCGCCCCGAGTATCTCGCGGGTTCAGGATCGTTGCGAAATTAATATGCGCCGGTCCATTAGGCGCGATTGGGAGCCGCAAGGTGCATCGTGTTATTCTGAAACCCCGTTCGGGTGACTGCCAGAACTGTTGCGCGCGATTAAGATTTCACTCCTCGGCCAATGCGTGCCAATATAGAAGGCCGTCCATCATTTTCGGGCTCTGCTCTAAATTTAGCCAAACATCAATCTCGATGAACAATGTGCGGACACCTCCGAACTCCAGTCCGGTCGTTACATAATGTACGTCTGTTTTTAACGAAAAGCGCACAACGGGCGCGTACTATTCTTCAAATAGTACGAATTAGACTCTCCATCAAAATCGACAGAAATATTCTTGATAACGAATTTAGACGTGACTCTATGGATCGGCACCCGAGAGTTTAGCAGCGATCTCTTTTACTTTCCAATTTATCGACTCGATTTAATTGTACTAGTAATCGATGTTGAGCAATAGCACTAATTACTATAATCGTAGAAGGCTTAAATTGCAATTTTATTGTTGGATATACAATGTACATAAATATCTGCATGCTTTTTCGCAATGTCACATATAGTTTTATCTACAGAGAGTAATTAATTGGTTGGTAACTACATAGTTCCTCGAATCTTTACGGAATCCTTTCTCTGATTGTGAGACACGCAATAAAGACATCCTTGCACGCTAACTACACAGGCACGTAAATATGGCTGCGTTCAAAGCAATAACTTTGGACACGATATGACACAACTCACGTTACGAAAATAGGAAAGCGCAATTTTTATCACGGATTAGCTCACGACGCGGTACACAAAGCGTGCGTATAAATAGAGATTGTTCTAAGATAATATTTCGTTCTATAAATTCCGTACCCCGATATAAAAGTTGCGGCGTAACGAAAGTTACGTTTCGTGCGGCTTTTACGAAATCCGAGTCTTTGTGAGAAGTTGACAGTGATTCTTTCTTGGCACGGGCAAAACAAATTCTTTTATTCGCTTTACTAGCCTTAAATTCTTGGCACGGAGCGCCGCTGTACATTTAAAACGCCATAACTTCGAAAATAAATAGTGCCGAGACATATCCACGAGTACGGATGTAAGCACGAATCGTAAAATATGACGATTAATATAATTCTTCCCATTTTTCAGTCTTAACTGTGTACATTGTTGAAACGAAACGGTCAATAATTTTAATTTTTTTCCAGTCATTCGTTCTATTTTACTTTGTAACACATTTGTTTCTCATACGAATCACACTCGTCGTTAAGCTTAAAACAATGAAATGTGCCAGCATTTGCGTTTGCAAGCGCTAATATTAATATTTTAACACATAATAATATGTGTAAATAATATTTTTAACGTGTTTTACACGTTATATTTCGTGTAACATAGCAAACTTTAACATTTCTTTTTTTTAGAACTTTGAGACGGTCAATTTTAATTTAGTCTTATTTTGCACGTATTAATGTAACGAATAAACTGTAAAAATTTAAAACAATTCTCACACAAATGATTTTACGAAATAACTACCTTAAGGTGATTAAATATAGTAGTGATCTAAACAAATTTGATATAATTTTTCATACGTAAAAGAGATAAAAGGATAGACTCGACATACGTGCCATTCACATTCCGCAATTTATGAAACGATTT